CTGAAGTGCCACTGAATTAGGGAGGATTTCTACCTAGTAACGAGTTGGCTTCGTCTGGCCCTGATGACGGCTGGCACAGGACGAGGCGTATATTCAACAAGTTTCACTTGAATGGTTTGCCAAATATTGGCTACGGCTGTCCATAATTCTGTAAGTTTCCTTGATGTTGTGGGGTGGCCTTTCACGGCTTGTTCCTATACACTTCAAAGATGCTTAATAAGATATATGTCTGGACTTTCAGGTGGCCAATTTATGACGGAAAAGTCAGAGGAATGCTCATCCAACCAGCCAGTAGCCAATGTCAGAGGTACAGTTGGCTTGCTGGAAAACTCCATTTTTTGCGGATAACAGAACAGCATAAAGGTATAATGATGATCCCCCAGCAACTCTACGTACCGCATTGCATTGAGGGAGGTTGGTTCACGCACCCAATTTCGCAAACAGTGCATCAGAAAAACACCCCAGACCATGACTGAGACACCATGTCCTTGTACCGTTTGAACCTGGCATGCAGGATTGATGACTTCATGTGCCTAACGCTATATTCTCAGTCTCCCGTCAGCCTTAAGTAGTCGGAAACGAGACTCATCACTCCATGCTACTCGTTTTCAGTCCTCTACACTCCAGTCTCTGTGCTCTCTTGTACGGTTAAGACGTGCAGCCCGATAGCGAGCATTGAGCAATGGTACTTTCATAGGACGACAGCTCTCGAAACCCATACGATGAAGCGAGTGTTGCACAGTCCGTTTACTGACTTTACGACTGGCACTGGCATTCATCTGGGTGTTAATTTGAGCTAATGTTTGACTCTCTGGCTCAATCCGTGAGCCGTCTCTCACCACGCAAATTCAAGGCTAATAGTCCTTTGTAATTTTCCCGATCGCTAATTTTTGTCCCCCACCCATGTATTCTTTGTATACTCTTGACACTGTCGACATTGAAAATCCTAACTGACTGACAATTTCGGAAATTGAATGGCCATACGATTTGTCCGTGATGAAAGGTGGCTAAATCAGCTAATTACCCATACTGGCAATTCCAACAATATATATGTAGAATGGATTAGTGGAGTTCCTGTTTCTATATGGAAACTTCACCTCCTATCTTGGTTTCTGTTGAGTGAGCTTTGCTAGCTTTACCTTAGTCCAGTACTGCGTTAAAATATTAACATAATTGGGTATGAAAAAATTTTAATAGTGCTGATGATAGGGAGTTTACATGAGATGAAAGTTAAGTACTTAAGCATGGAAAACATTGAGTGCTTTAAAAGAAAATAAATAAATTAGAATAAAATAAAATATTAAATTTTAAAATTTAGAATGGGAGAGCTCCGGGAGGGGAGCTGTTATGTGTCTAACACTTTGCGCCTCTGCAAGCCGAGTCGCTTGCGTGAAGGACTTGAATGGTGGGTGAAAGAGCAACTAGCTGGGTGACCCGCATGCTCGGAATCGGCACTCGGAATGGGAGCTTAACTAACTAAAATTAGATGGTCGCGGGTGCCGGCGCCAAAGGCGCATATTCCCAGAAGGATGGGAGGAAAAGAAAAACCATATGACTGATGGATGTCAAATACAGAAAGCTCACCCGAATGGTGAGGGATGAACGTGCCCCCAAGCACAACGTTCCAACGAAGTAGAACGCCGGCGGGGTGGAGGGGGAGCTTCCCGAAAATCAGGGGTATAAAAATAACTTTGGTTGCTTCAGACCCGGCCAATTGGGTTGCGGCCTCTCGGAGTGGGAGGGGAGCGTGGTGTTGGACTTTGAAAGTAAAACTGCTCTGGGAGCAGGGTATGGGAATTTTGAGGTAGCTCAACTCCCATTGCAGGAGAGAAAGTCAAGTAGAGTAAATTGTGAAAATTTTGAAAAATTGAAAGGGAAGGAAAATAGAATAAAAATTTTAGCAGAGAATATTTCTAGATCTATTAAAATGGATTCAGGGGATACTTTTCGATTTGGAGGATAGCTCTATTATCGTAGGAATCAATATTGTCGAAAAACTTAATAGCTGTCTTTTTGATGACCTCTCTAAGGGTTCTGAGATTGAGAGTGTTGCGGATATCTTTGTTCCGCATGTACCAGTCTGCATTCGTGATGGTACGAATAATAAAAGTTTGCGCTTTTTCAATCAGATTGAGATTTGAATAGGCTGCATGACCCACAGGCGTATATGAGGGATGGTCTTAGGATTTGCGTATAAATAAGCATCTTGTTTTTATTACAAGCTTTTATTTAACTTGCAATGTAAAATGTTCGGGTGGAATCTTGCGACTGAATTTTGAAGCTGATTTCTTCAACCGATTGAGCTGAGATTTTGTATTCACATTTAGTTTGAATGACAATGCAAATTTCAAACATTTATATTCCTATATCGCAATTAGTTAAAAAAGATATTAATTAAAGTAATTTGTTCGAGTGGAATCTTGCAGCTCAATTTTGAAGCTGATGTCTTCAACCGATTGAGTTGAAATTTTGTATACACGTTTAGTTTGGATGACAATGCCTATTTTGACGATTTATATTCGAATATCAACCTAGTTACTGTAACGATTTTGTTCAGGTGTTAAGGCGAGCATGTTTACAATAATAAAGGTGTGGACTGGGGGCGTAGATCAGATGGCAGAGCGCTCGCTTAGCATGCGAGAGGTACGATGATCGATACCCCGCGCCTCCTATTACTATTTTTCCGTGTAAAATATTTTTGAAATTTGTTTGATTTGTACAACGGGATATTTTACAATACTTCCACTCAGTATACGTACAAAGTATGTTAGATTTTTACTGTTCTAGAGGGAACACTAAGAAAGGTAGATCTATCAAGCTATTTCTATTTACTTTGAAATAATCTAGTATATCTATTTACTCGATTCTAGTTTCTCCCGTAACACTTTTAATTGACCTAGTCACTATAACGATCTTGTTCAGATGTTAAGAGGAGCATGTCTACAATAACACAGGTGTCGACTGGGAGCGTAGCTGAGATGGTAGAGAGCTCGCTTAGCATGCGAGAGGTACGGAGAGTGGCACCCCGAGCCTCCAATTGTTATTTTTTCGTGCAAAATATTTTTGAAATTTGTTTTATTTGTACAACAAGATATTTTACAATACTTCCACTCAGTATACGTACAAAGTATGCTATATTTTTGCAAGCTTTTATTTAACTTGCAATATAAAATGTTCGGGTGGACTCTTGCAACTCAATTTTGAAGCTGATATCTTCAACCGATTGAGCTGAAATTTTATATACACGTTTAGTTTGGATGACAATGCATGCCGTGACCATTTATATTCCAAAATCGCAATTAGTTAAAAAGACTAGCTGCATGACCCACCGTTGCACGGGCCTTCTCTACTTTTATAAATTTTACCTTTCTTTCACAAAATCAGCACTTCTAATACTCTTTTTCAAAATGACTTCCACACCCTTCCCCGCTTACACTTGCGTTTCTCGAGCTTCTACCGAGTGTATAACTTAAAATTCCCTGTTTCGAAATTTTTTTCGCTTTTTTTCTTTGTCAGACAGGTTTATACCCCCTCCCCCCAGCGTTTCACGAATATTTTTAAATGCATAACATATTGTCATTGAAAGTGTTCCGGTGTCAGGTATTAGGGTGAGCATGTTTACATTAACACAGGTGTCGTCCGGAGCCGTACCTCAGATGATAGAACATTGCACGAACATTTTTAAATGCATAACATATTGTCATGGAAATTCCCGATCCCCTCTCGCTATCAGAGCTCTAGAATAAATGAACATTCACCGATTCTTAAGCAGCTTGACACGTTCAACCATATAGTGACCCAAAAAGTAATGCATATTTGCACAAATGAAATTCATAAAAAAAGTTTTCGACATTTTATTTTTTAAATCACTAACTGTAAGAGGTTAAAGTATGAGTTTTTTAAAAATCTTTTTCATATAATCGCATCGATATTGATTCATTTTAGAAAAAATTATAAAATATGTAAAGTATCGTTATTTTGTAAAATTAAAAAAAAAAACTGTATCGTGACGATATAAATTATTTTTCCACTTACAAAGTTGCTGAAAAAGTTATTAAATGTGCGAATAAAATGTTGAGTATCTTTTTTTAAAAAAATAATAAAAACTAAGAGACGATATTGTTTCGAACCCTTTTACAAAATCTGCTAATCCAGCGCTCTAAGCGACCAATGAACGAAATTTTCGGAACAAAATAAATAAAAGACCGTTGAAATAAAAGGAAGAGATATTCAATTTTGCATTGCGTTATTTGTTAAAGAGGAAAAACACCCCACGGTGTGTGTTTTAAGCGTTTTAGCACTTAAAACTCCGATGGGGCAAGTATCGCGGATTTTATGATTGTACTTGAAAGTTAATGCTGAGTTAAAGTTATTTGAAAGTTAGGGCTATTAAATGTAACGATCTGGAATTATAGACATGTTTATTGGCTATATGTTCGGAAGAAATAAATGGGTGCTTAGTTTGATACTTGAAGAGGTGAGGAGAAAATAAAAGTGAAGTGCTAGATAGGGAATTTAATTTTTAATCTAATTTAATTATTCTT